TGTGATATGTAAAGTCAAGTCACAAGAGTAGAAGAGAGAACTTGAAGAAAAAGCAGCAAAAATATTAACAATTTGTTTAATGCCAACAGTGAAACACAAAACTCTGTTGTTTTATATTAAATACTTTCTGAGCATTAAAAATATTTGGGGGCTGGAGAGACGGATCAGCAGTTAAGAGCACTGACTGCTCTTGCAGAAGACCCAGGTTCGATTCCCAGCTCCCACATGGCGTCTACGAACCGTCCTTAACTCCAGTGCCAGGGGAATTTGCAGCCCTCTTCTGACCTCCTCGGCATTGCACATTGCACGATATGGGTACACTCACATACATGCAGCAATACACTCATACACATAAAATAATAAAAATAAAATATTTTAAAAATATTTGATAATTTAAAACTACCTTTTCTAAGACAGAAAGAGATAATATCACAGTTTAAAATATGTTTTAGTAAAGTCAAACAGGTATGTTATTAAAACTCAGACATGAAAGTGAATTAAAGTCCTAGTTGTATAAAGTTGCCATATTTTATAAAATGAGAAATATAATTAATATGATGTCTTGCTAATAAAAGGAAAATGTTTCTTTTTGCCCAATTCTATCTCTTTTTGTGTATATATCCTGAGCTTTTAGCTCAGAGGAATTTTGAAAACCCAAAGAGACAAGTACAGTTATAGTGAAAAATAGATTCCAGCCCACAGAGGAGGCTCCATATATCACAAGCAGCAGAAGTCTCTCCATGGAGAATGAGAAGCATCAACACCTGACTTTGAGAACCACAGGGAAATTCTCACAGCTGAAGGGCACTTGTCCCATATCCCCAAAGGACTGGCCTTCCATCTTCACATGACACGTAGTGAATTATTTCTCATAGGAAGCTTTGGCATTCGCAGTCAACGATCTTACACACACTCTGGGCTGAACACACAGGGTGAAGCGTGGCAACTGCCTTCAGTTCTCCTTTATTTCTGTGTAAAGTCAGTCAGGTTTGCAGCGGCTGAGCAAAATGACTGACCCAGTAGCATGAATGGAAAGTTCATTCATGTCCTAAAGTGTCCTATAGATGAATAGAGAAGTTGCAATTGACTGTAAACACAAATCTGAACCTGAACAGTAAGATAAAGCTCTGTCCAGCAGCTCTGGAATTCTTTCCTGGGTGAGAATCATTGTCAGGAATTCCAACAGCTGCAGTGAGTAACCTCAAAGATATTTTGTTACCAGCAGCATTAGTCCTTCCAAGAAGTTGCTTGGCTGTGTGACCGGAACTTGGCACAGGAAGTCCATTTGAAGGACTGCAAACGAGGGGCTTTCCTGTCCCCAGGCTCTCTGGGTGAGACCCCTGGTGACCTAGCACTGCAGTTTCAAGAATGAAGGAGATCAACGCCCTTCAGGGCTGACTTTTCCGGATAGTGGATGCCAGCCAGCTCTTAATTGCACTAATTTGTTTCTAAAAACACACGCCACACTTCTGGGCTCTAACAACCAGAGTGTGTAGAATTCTGCTTCATTGTCCTGCAGGTAGGCTTTCTATCTCCCCATCTCTGCCACACCCACCCCTCTACAGGTTTCCATGGATGTTTCTGTTCAGACAATCCTCTGCTAACAACTTTGAAAGCCTAGACATGTTGTCTTTTATCCTTTGGTTTCCCGGAAATTCATCTCACTTGTTTTTGAACACAATTTAATTCAGTAACTTTTTTCTCCTGAAAATAAGTTTGAAAATATGGTTGCCTTACATTCTTACCAGTGTAATATAAATGCCATTCTACAAACCTCTTTGAAAGCTGAAAATCCTTCCTACCACGTTGTTTTCAAATCTTCTGCTGTGTTCTTTATAATCCCTTGGTTGTGTTGTGCATACACGGTGAACTACTGATTTGGAACATGAGTACATAATCATCTTGTGGGCTGCTGCTGCTACCCACAAACCTCATTGCTGGGACCCAACTATAAGAACTCTTGATGTTTTCATCTTCTTCATGACCTCCTAATCAACAATTCCTTCTAATCAGTTTGATATTTTTGTAGTCTTGTCTAGTTATAGAATCTTGATCATTTATGCTGAATGACATCTTTTTTAGACGTTTGAAATTTTTACATTATGAGAGAATTCTGATACAAGAGAAAATATAACTCATATTCAGTGCCCCAGCCTGGGGTCACACATATCCCAGTTTGGCTAAAACAATTCCTGTTCATGATTGCTCTGGCATCTTATCTAGTGTAGACTTTGTCTTAGTTTTTATAGTTTTTGAGTAAAATGTGAAAAATTGCAGTAGTAGTCTTTGGAATGGTAAGTAGACAATACTCTGAAATTTTTGTCATAGTCTCATCGAGCAAGACATGCTAGATGTGTGTAACATGCTAGATGTGTGTAACATGCTAGATGCATGTACTATTCTCCTTTAAACACATGGTTAAACCTAGAAGAAAAATTGAAGACAATGCTCTCTCCGAAACTTCAAAGGTGCAACATACCTGGAAGATTCCTTTCAATGGCAGCATGTAGGCCAGTCTCTGACTATACAGATATACACAAGCACTTGCCCTTGGACAGAGAAGACAGAGAAGGCCAGGGTCAGAAAGAGTGTAGAAATCCCAGAAGCCTCAGGCCCTGTCCCCAGCTCTTCAGAAGGCCCCAGCTGGTAGGGTTCGGATGGAGTTTCCAGAAGCTTAGATTCGTGTGCTGAGCTGTTAGTGGAAGAATCTCTCAAAGGCTTGAAATAATGGCACTGGTTTTGCATGTCAGTTCACATACCAGCATTGTATCGTTTCAGTTCGCGATTCCAACAGAAAAGGACTTGTTCAATTATGTTAAGATAATTTTGTAATTAAATACCTGGTATCAAAGTATCTAAACTTTTTAGAATAAATGTTAAAATAAATGCTGGTATTATTTTAAATACTGTAGTAACTCAGTTAATAATAACTTGCCAAAGACACATTATTGTAGAATAATAGAAATACAGATTTTTTGGTGTCTCACAACATATAGGTAAAAGCACAAAGCACAGTTTTCTTTACAAAATTAAGAAACTTATAAAGCAGAAAGCATATTTAGAATTCAGGTAGTTTATAACTTTATAGCAATAAAGCTGCAAAACTTTACCAGTGAAAATAGAAACTCTTAATTTTCAAAATTTATATATATATATACACACATGTGTAGAGCAAATAAACTAGAATATTTTTATGATGAGGTGTCATTGAAAGCAAAAAGAACTTCAGCATGGAATAATAAACTCTTCTCCTTCCTTCTCTTTACTAACCAGCCTTTGAAAAACTCCCTTGGAAATTAATCCACTTCCTACAATAGTTGTGAATACATTTATAAATGAATACGTTTAATTGCATTACATTCAAGATTAATTGAAAATTTTAAATAGATTATTCAATAAACAAAGCACCAAAAGTCAGCTTTTGAAGATTTAGTAAACTGCAATAATTAAACTTATGAAAA